GACGAGAGTATCCCATGTGAAGAAACCTCAGCCTTTTCTAAGAAGCAACGCACCATTGCCATGGAAGGTGTGTTTGGAAAGCGAGTACAGCGCGATTATGTCGACAAATTCGGCTCGAGAGAGACGTATTCGAACACATTGTACAGCCGAACTGTACCGCTATTTGGACGAGGTGGAGGATGTTACATTTGATGTCGATTCTTTGGAGTGGTGGAGAAAACGTGGTTCCGAATTTCCTAACTTGCCTCCACTTGCCCGAAAATGGCTAGCGTGTGTCGCTAGCTCAGTACCAGCAGAACGTGTTTTTTTCTTCAGCTGGAGATACGGTAACAGCCAAGCGCAGCTCTCTCGATCCATCGTTGGTGCGCGATCTTCGCTTCATTCACGACAATTTTGTATACCCCGGGTGGAAACCAGCGGAAAAAGATACGAGTATCCCCAAAGGAAGTAAGTCAAATTCGTCTGAAGGTAGCTTCGAATACTTATGTAAACCATTGGAACACCTGCATTTTACAACCTACCGATTTACGCGGGTTAGCTGACCTCCAGCTTATGTTGATACTTGTGAATCACAAATTGTGATCGTGCCGCACAGTAACTTGATCAATTCTCCCTGATAGGAGGCTCCTCAGACAGATCGACCACTCAAACTACCATACAGCTCACATCAACCCCTTCGGAAAGCACCCCAAACCAGCACTATTTCATCTCGAGCAATTCTATAGGTCTGTGACACGAATTGAACTTCCTCCATTCACCTCTACAGTTCTCAGTGATGCTCGCCACGTTTCGAGGCGGTGGAGTGTTGTTCTTGATCGTGGTGCTGGTAATTCTCATATCAATAGAGAAGACGAACCTGGATTCAACGCAGTGAAGTGCATCAAGGCTGCGCTGAACTTCAGCTGGTAGCAGCTGAAGAAGATGACGATTGCCATCGCTCCAACGGTCGTCACTCCGTACAAGAAGGTGCTTTGTATCCTGGTCAGTTTCAGCATCAGTGTTCATGCGAGCTTGAACGAGCAGTGGCGGCAACGCTGAATCCGCGAAGCGCAGCGAGATTTGGATTGTATTATGTCCGAGAGCGCCCCCTTTGACACGGTTGTACGCGGCGGCGACTCGCCAGCAGTGAAGCTTTTGATGGCATGGAGACTCGACGAGCATGTGAGCGAACATTAAAATTGTTATCTGTTTGAAGAGGATTTTATCGTGAGTTCGGTTGAGTTGGAAACCAACTTAACTTATCCCTCAGCGTTTCGTTAAGTTGTGAGTTGGAGGCCAACATGGACAGGCCTAGCCCATAGACCGAAAACGCCACTAGCAATCCTTGAAGCACTCTAGCGATGGTTCGTGAATCAACCCTTGTCGCCAGACAATTGTCAATATCACAACTGCCCACGGCAAGTCTCAAACAACGGAGCTTAGTGAGCGTCTTGGAGTTTCGCGACTTGACCCCGTGAGCGGCTTTGTACACCGGACTACTGCCCGAGCTCTCAACCTCACCGGGTATTTGTCGTCGCCGGTACATTTGCTGTCATCGATTCACTTCTCGCTCGTTTTCCTGCTCACCCCCTCAGCTCGCAGCGTTCTGGCAGCGACCCACCTAGTCTAGATGGCGTCTCGGCTTCCTTGCTTTCCGCTTCCGATGCTACTGGCGATACCACT